TTCCCATCAGTCTGCTGTCAAAGACGAGTCTTTTGCGCATGTGCAAAACGCCAAAAAAAAAACCTGCTGGCCTCTCGGCTTGACAAGATTACAGTAAATGAGCGCTGCTTGCCTTGCTTGCTGTGACAGGATGCCAGTGATTGTAATGAAATTGTTTTCCTTGCAAGGTTTTTTTTGGTTCTGTTGTTTTGATGATATAAAAAAACCCTAATTTTCCATAAATTGTTTCTTACATTGTTTTAAAATAATTTCTCGATGTAGAACTTTTCTATTCTGACATCATGCAGACATTTAGATGCCTTTCATTTCTGTGTCTGGTATTCATTTGGTTAAGCAATGGGCACATGTGGTTTGGTTGCATGCACTACTGTGCAACTGAGACACTCATGCCTGGTTCTATGCACATGACTTTCCGTGTGTGTGTGTGTGTGTGTGTGTGTGTGTGTGTGTGTGTGTGTGTGTGTGTGTGGACGCCAGGCTGTCTCCAATGGAGGAGGCCCAGTGTGTCAGTGCGGAGGTGGAAGGGGAGAGCTGGGCTAGTCTCTATAAATCAGGCCAGATTACAGAGGCAGAGAGGCCTGCAACTCCCCTCCACTACCCAGCCTTCTCTGCTTTATGTCAGCCGACACACACACCACTACTGTATGGTTTAATAGACGCTGTTCTAGCACCAGATACCTTGGTAGACAGACGTCGTCTTAGGCCTCGCACTATGCTTTTCTATTGTAGATGACTGTGTTGTTAACACTCTCTGTAGGGTTGTGCTTGATATGGTGTTCCCATGCAGCACAGCTATATTTAAGTTTGAGATAAGAGGCAGTGGTAATTGTTAAGCGTCACAAAATAGTAAGCACCTTTTTTAAGATGTTTATACTGTAGAGATTTTAATAGTCGGAGAAGGAGAAACTTGGCAGAGAAAGTGCACTGACAGTAGCCCACAGAGCCGGCTGAATGCAGCCACAGGACATGTTATGTTTTGATTAGGAGTGAAGCCACATTCGCAGACATTCACGACTCGGCGTGATTGGCTATGATGTATTTGTATGTCTTTATTCCTGCTGTGATTAAAGGAAACGTTGCTGACACTGACTTTGGAAAACATGCCGATCACTTAGGCAAGTTAAAGGACTGAATCGTGGAAACAAAAGAAACACATACTTGCACATTACTGCATGTAGCGAGCAACAAGTAACTGTGATATATTCTTCATGTAAGCCAGAAGTAACCAGTTTTTCTTAGACACACGTTTATTGCCTGGTGTAAGTCACAATCATACAGAAGAGCTAAACATCTAACATTGTTGCTACAACTTGATTGCAGCATAGAGTTTGGATGTGGCGAGTGAGGATCACTACACAGAAAAATAATTACTTTTGCTGTTAGTGAGCATTATGACAACCACCTACTGGTATAAAAAAAGAAACTAGAATTGGTGTTAGATGACAGACTTGAAGTCTTATCTGGTTCTTGTTGTTTTAGGACTGGTTTTTCTCTTTTTCTTCATTGCTGTTTGGTTAGCTTCGAGGGAGATAACCAGTTTTCTCAGTCTTTCAAAAACAAATCCACGTCCACAGTGTTATCCATGTCATCCAGTGTTATCTCGCAGACCACTGCACATTAAAAATAAAGCTGATTGGGTACGTTGCGTCTTACTTTTTTTTTTCTATTATGTTTTGTTTTTATTCTTGTGTGTTCTTGTTCTGTTGCTATCCCAATTTTTTATACAGGACCTTTAAGGGTTTTATAGATTATTATTGCCAAACCTCGGCTCCTCCTAAGAAACTGAAGCTGTATGGGCTCACTACTTTTTTTTCCCAGTCCCAGAGCCTCAATGAAAGCCCTGATGGAGCTTTTTACAAGCAGCTCATGCTACCTCCTGACACAAGGAGTATGTAGTTTATTCATCATGGACATCTTTATTCTGCTATAATAATTTGTCTTGCAGCCACTTAGCGGTCACGGCTGTATTTGAAGTTTTTCTAAATCAAGTCTGTCTCGGGATCTTGGCTTTTGATCTTCGGGCAGGGCTTTTAATGTGTCCATTCTTCATCTCTGACACCAAGAGTGATTATTTGTTATGTTTTCAGTAGCCCTATCGTTCGGGCAGCTCGGTTCGCCCGTCTATATAATCCCTTCCAAAACCTTCCGATGTAAAATAATGGTTTTCGTGTTTTTCTTTCCTATTTTTGGGCAAGAAAAGCTTGCAATATGATGTTATGGCCGTCCAGCACTTTCTCTCTGTTCTCTCTCACCATAGTTTGGAATTTAATTGTGTTTTGACAACTCTTTTCCATAGCTGGCCCAATTATAGCCTACAGTTGGGCTGGTAATGATAGTTGTTAATGGGGTGAAAAATGGACGTGCATCTCTGACAGAAACCATAAGCAGATCCTTTGAAAGGAGCCAAGGAAAGCACAAGCAGGAATGACCCAGCCGTGCTCCCGTCCTCGTAAGGCCTTTATATAGCATGCGAGGCTCCTAGCATCTCCTACAAGGCTTTTACTGGCCTCTTATGTGTGTAAGGCAGCTATATTGTCAGTATTAAAACATCAGAGCAGTCAGTAGCAACGTCAGGGCTACTGTACGAGGCCATGGGAATGGCTGTGCGTGACCCATCGCACACACACACACAGACACACTTTTCGAAATGTCGTCAAATTTCTCACGCTTTTTTCTCTTCCTTTCCGCTTGCCACTCCTCCTCCTCCTCCTCCACAGCCTCCTTTTTTTCCCTCATTTCTCTTTTTGCAGGGAAAGTATTGATCGGCCTCTTCCCAAAGTTATTTTTAATCAAAGATAAACAAGGAATCCACATTTCCTTGGGAGACGTGGGGTTGCTTGAAGTGTCCTGCTCTTTCTTACAGTTTTCTTTATGCTCGAGGGAGGTGCCGAACGGGAGAGATGGAGCAAGAAAGTCGAGCGCGCTCGTCACATGAGCGGGGGCGGGTCCGACGGGTGTTTAGAGAATAGCACAAGTGCCACCAAAGAGTGGGAGACGTGGGAAGTCCGGCTTTAGTCTCAGTTAGTTGTAGCACATCCTATTATTATCCCCTGGACTGTGTGACAAAGCTGACCAGAAGAGACCCCAAACACACACACACACACTTAGCTAGACTTCTCCCCTCTCACACAAACACAGGCCAGGCCATTCCCAAGTCTTATTTCTTCTGGACTTATGGGAACACTTAAATTTAGCCCTGGCAGGGAATGCAGGCATAATAATCAAAGCCCTTGTCACCAGGCTCTCAGTGCTAGGTGGTCTCGCTGCTCCTGAGGGAAGTTCTCACCCAGTGGAAAGCATACTTCCTCCTCGGCACACTGGCACACTTGGGTCCTCTAATTATTGGGGGGAGGGGGGTTATGCTAATGCTCATACTTTTACAAGCTAACATGATTGACACCTGTGGAACACACCCTAAAAGTATAATTATAGTAGTAATAACAAATTTAGTCATGTTGTTGCTTTTTCCTACCATCGGTATGATGGGCCCGCGCTCCTTCGTGGTCGTGGCTGACTTTGGAGTTCAGATATTACTATTTTATTTAGCTCAATAATAGTTTCTAAACAAATGCAATGGCCCTTGTTTACTAATGTGTGCATGTAAGTCTTCTTACCCTGCGTAAAAACAAGAAACTCTGAATGCCACACCACCACTTTTCTATATAAGGAAATACTTTTACCTCCCGGTGGGAGTGGAAATGAATTTGCAAGAAACTAATAAAAGTCAGACTAAAGAAACCGAGACAACTGTGTCCAAAGAAGAAGCCAGAAAAGCCACAGCTTGTTTTTTAAAGAAGACAAAAAGTAGCAAGAATCAAGGTGAAATAGCAGAGATTCTGAGACAATCAGTGTGGTGCAATTTTAAAAAAATGTCGATATGAAAAAAGACCGACTATGACAAGCAGCGTGTGATCTGTCAGTCTGAGACGAGAAACTCACTGCAGTGATGAGAAAAGTCCAGATACTCCAACATCTGTGAATTAGACATTAGAGGGTACGTGATGACATCCAGTAATAATGTGTCATTTTGAATCAAATCTAATTTAACACGAGGTGAGATAACAAATACTAGGAAATGTTTAAAGATTCCTCTGAGTTTTTGTGTCAGATTGAAGTTATAAATTTACAAAAATAAAGATTTTTTTTTAGCAAATATCCTCAGAATCTGTTATTATTTATCTCTTTACTCTGGGAAGGAGAATTATTTAGGAACATTGAATATGGCTGCTGTAGACTGGTTATCACTTCCTTAAATTATCTGGTCATTTTAAAACGATCACATTTTAGATTCAGAGTGTTTCTGACTCGCTTCAAATTTCTTTCTGGTTTCTGGATACTTTCATACACTGTAACCATTGGCCATATTATTTAAGCAACATCTCTGTTGTAACATGATTTTGTTACTTTGTTTTTGGTAATCTGTGCTTCTGTCCATCATCCTAATTTAGCCACAGGGAGCTGGAGCCTAGCCCAGCTGACATTAGGCAAGAGGTATCCCAGACAAGTTGCCAGTCCATTACAGAGGGGTCATATTTATTAATGGGTAAATTCAATGAGTAACAGCTGACTTCAAGTCACAACTACCAACAAAAAACTCCAACAACTCGTAAAGTTGCCACGAGCGATGACAACGACTTGTAAAATCAGTCGACTACTATTAAAGGCTGGGGATACTTTACCCTCGTGTTTGGGTGTGTCTCTGTGTGTACTCGCAATCTAGTGTTAATGTTATTCATCGTGTAACAAGCCCCAGGAGGTCAAAGGTGATGAGGTGCTAAGAAGTTCTTTGACACTTGACACAAACACACACACTGGCTGCTGTGGCTCCCCGCAGAGCAGGACTGTCACCACCTGGAGTGAAGAACTAATTAGCCTGTGATCTGTGACATAACCCGTGCTCGTGTACAGATGAATGCATGTCTGCATTGTTTTGCCTCCTAACTGTTCTCTTTTCTCTTTTCCATGTGGTCCTGCTGATGACGTGGGATGGATTCTAACAGGTCAGTGTTCTTTCATTTTATGAGATTACCAAATGAAACTGACGGCGAGGTCTCTGTGAAATCCCTTTGAAACGGAGAGGTCGTGAGGCTGCCCTTTAATTGTGCTTTTAATGGTGACCCCTTGGTGCCCCAGTGTAAATAAAAGTGTCAGACAATAAAGCCATCACGCCAATGCCACTATTATCAAATAATGCTTAAAGCCTTTATGTTTATGGTTTAGACGACCTCTTGCTGCGTTATTACCTGACACTTCACGTTTCAGAAAGAAATTTCCTGTATTAACTTCTCAGAGTTGCACAGACCAGGGTCCACATTTCTTTATCTCTGCATTGCTGAGGCAGTGAGCAAGAAGACAATAAGTATTATGTTGTTTCTTAGCCTCATTTTGTACATATATGCTCAGTTTCGTAATATTTTACTATGAAATCAATAAAATGCTGTTCAGTTATTCGCCTTAACGTAAGCAGAGTTTCAATCACTGGAGCGCTGGGAACGCCCGCCTTCCCCGTGTCCTCAATGATGGCTACACCCCTGCTGTTAGTAATATTTACTAAAGTGTATAAAAACAATAGACAGTTTCTACTGGCAGCTTTGGTCAAACTGAGTGTGCAAAGCACAGATGTAAGTCGGCAGGTACAGTATTTAAATCCCTGTGCTGGTGATGTCATTCGTGCACATTCCCACAACATGAGCAGCGTTGCGTGTTCTTCTAGGCGCATATAGCTTTATTGCTCCATTCGTCACTGCCAGTATTTCGGGGGGGTTTTCACACTCCCAAGGTGAATAGGAATGAGTGATGGCCAATAGGCTCAGCTTTCTTCAATCTTCCTCTTCTCCCTCTATTCCGTGAGAAACTCAGGGAGGATGAGGGAAGTGGGGCTCCTCATCAATCCATCCACAGAGAGAGAGAGTGACGGGGTTCTGAGGAAGAGAAGGTGTGGGAGGCTCGGTTTAGCCAAGGGGAGTCCCAGCAGCGATCCACGCACACTCGCACACACGTACACGTACACAGAGGAAGAATAACACCCATATATCTGGCGCGTCAACAACCGGCCTCTGTTTGCACAGCGCTGACACCGGCACAGCCAAACTGCTACTGGAGTTTCTCATCACACGTTCGGTGCTGTTTGTGTGTGTAGGTGCACAACCGGGCGCTTTGATTCTGTGTGTGTTGCCACGCATTTCCATCTGTATTTGTTTTTCACGAGCACGAGTGTTGGCTGCCCCCAGGTGTGTGTGCGTGAGAGCGTGCGCGCGTGCCAGATGGCAAAGTGGATCTGTCCACATCGGTCCACACTGGAATATTGTCATAGCCACAGTAGGGAGTTCTTTTGTGCATATGGTTGTTTGGAGTTATTTTATTTAATGCTGTTTGAAATATTTTTTTTGTCTCTTTCTGCCAAATATACGCAACTAATACATATTTGCAAACCTTGACACCAACACCGTCTTCACTACCACTTTAACTGGGAATCGCACTAACTCGTGCTGTGTTGCCCACAGTACCAGACTGTGCAGTCCTACATAAACTGCAGTCCAGTTTAAAAACGTGTCCGTCAATCAGTCTCTGGTTTTTTATCCACTTCTGTCTAAGCAGAGTGTTTTTTTGCCACGTTTGCTAACTTTTGTTTAGTTTACTGGATTGACGTAAAGTGCAACCATCAGGAGTCTTAAATTCACGACTCTGGTGAGTGAAATCCTTCTAGTGAAAATATCTGAAGCTGTCACTGATGCTTTTGTCCCGCCCCCTTTGACAGCTTTGCTTCAATGCAAACATTGTGCCACAAGCTGTGTCCGTCTTCTCATTTAGTTTTGTTTTTGTCGAGACAGTCTCCTTTTTTCGGTATGATGAACGATCAGCAGCTAATCTTCTGTCGGTCTCTCTTTCTCTAACTGGACTGCTGCCCACCTCTCCTCTGTGCGGATTTAGCAAGCTACAGATCTCCCGATTGGAGGCGAGATTGCCTTTTTGACAGATGAGGTGGAAACGTCTGCTTTTTTTTCTGAGAAGTATTAAGTCTGGTATGTTTTGTGCACTTTGCATGCAAAGAATTTGGCTCTAGTTTGTGGATAACATCCAGAGCTACTGAGCCTTTTCTTCTTCGAAATTCTGTGAAGTGCAATGAATACTTCAGTTGAAGATCTTGCAAAGTCATCCCCTTCGAGGCTGCGAGAAGGAACTCTGTAACTTATTGCCCTTAAAAAAAGAAATCACTTAGCTCTCTGTTTGATCTCCTTTGTGAAATATGCCGCCAGACAGCGTTTCACATAATCCCGCGCCGTTCGTAGCCGACGACGGGCCTTATGACTGCAGTAAATTACAAAATGGCCGACCTAAGCAGAGGAGCTAGAAAAGTAGAAGAAGAGGGAGGGAAAGGATGGCAAAAACACACTTTGGTAAACTAGCGTCTCCCCCACCTCTGCTCCAGCTCCCTGGGATCAAACAAGAGGGAGGATTTGGACGAGTAAATCATTTCCTTCAAGTGGTGAACTCTCAGGGCCAGCAGAATGAGTCAGACGTGTGTGTTCATATCAAGTGGAGGCATCGCAGTAACACTTTGCCAGAAAGCCTTTCTGCTTTTCTCTCACACTCTTCCTCAAATGATGGAAAATGTTGGACTTTGAAGTTCCGATAAGGAAAATTCATCACATTCTCTCTGGCTGCCTTTGCTGGTGAAACCATTACATCTACCGATGTTTATTGGGCGGTGCCCCGAGTCACCGAGTAGAAAAACATCCTTTCATCTTACCAAAGAAAAATTATTAGCCAAGCGTTTCAAAACCCTTTGGCACAATGCTCCGCATTCATTTATTATTAACCTTCGAGGCTAAAAAGGAAGGGTTACGCTAATTTAGTTTGTATTTTTAAGGGGATTTTTCTGCACGTGAGCAAAAATGTGAGGTCATAATTAATTAAGGTAACAGAGAGGTTTAGAAAACAGCTGCATCCTCACCTGTAGCAGGAACATTGTATCCAAGTCTGATTGTTGATTCGTGGCCTCACTCTGACATTTGGCAGAGATTCCCCTCCCTGTCTGCGAATCACTGCAGCTAATATTACAGTCACTCTGAAGATTGAACTTGTGACATTTATAGCCGTGCTGTGATATTATTGTACCAGTGTGTTCAGAGCAACCCCTCCTTTGGAAACAGCCCCTGTTTTTGCTTTTACAGCTTCACCTAGCACTTCTGCCCATCTTATAAAACTCCCTGCGTTTGCGTGTGAGCGTGTCAGATGTGGGAATGTTTTATCTTTCCTCAGTTATCCTTTTTCACTTAATGACTATTCCTCTGGACGCCACAGCCAGACGTTGTGTTAAAAGTTTCCTCCTCTGAGGTGTAATGCAATCTTGCCACGGTCAAAGAGCCTGACAGGGCTGGAGACACTGGTGTGTGTGCGTGTGTCAGTAAGACTGGGGCCTGTCACTATGTGCTCGACAAAGCAGTAGCAGTGTGTCCACGGCGCAGTACTTTGACTCCATGCGTTTGTGTTGCTTTGTTTAATCTTGCTTACCTGCAAGTGTGTGTGTGTGTGTGCACGTGTGTGTTTCTGGTTTGAGGTTATTGTGAGCGCCGGGTGAAAAGAAGCAGAGCCTGGATCTGCTTTCTATCACACCGATCTGCTGAGGGCCAAAAAAGACCCGACTTCTCACACACAAACAGGCGCACACACCTATTCATGCACGGTTGATTAAACCAGCCAATAGTCAAACAGAACAAGAAGGCACGACTAAAAAATCGCTGGGCTGCACATGCAGGGCACAAACACTCCAACTGCACCTGGTTTAAAAATAGATTTCACGCAGTGTTGTTTTGTAATCTGCAATAATCCCAAAACAATCCATACTAAGAAATATCTGCAAGTCTCACACAGCGTTGTACATCAAATCCATACAATTAGTCTATTCATCGGTTTTAGTCGTGAATTTTGAATTATGTTTTCATTTTATAAACTTTTAGTATAATATCTAAAATCTAAATCTTTAATTAATTAACTTAAATTATGTTAATGAATTGAACTTGTCTGAAAGATGTGGCAAAATGACAGGAAGTAAATGTTACTTTCCCTCGCTGTGTTTTCGTAAAAGTTAAGCACATCTTCAGAAATGACATTAAAACTTGTGTGACAGGCATCACAGGGTGCTTTCTTTACTTGCTCGTTTGCAGGGCATTGATTACATCATATGTAATGGATCAGAAATCATAAAAATGCTTGTTTTCATATCTCAAAGTGAGGGGTGGTTTTCAGATAAATAGCAGAAGGAATGTGCTGAATTTTGGCATTATGTGCTCATAATCTTGTCATAAAATTGATGAAACTGAAAGCGTATGACTTCTGTCATTCACTTAACGGGCTCTACACATCACTGCCATGCCACACAGACACAAAGCCTGTAATAAACATGTCATGGGAGGCTACTCAGCTAACCACCAACAGTATGTGAAGGAGATAGTTAGAAAACTTCTAAATCTTAAAAGTAGGATCATGTAATAAACATGTCCCTGTGACTGTGGTTGCCATACAACACGTAATCAAGTCTAAATAATAGAGCAGTCCTTGCAGGGCACATTTAGAACTCATATAATGTACAATAGAAAAATTCATGTCTGACTTTAAAATACAGCCTATCCAGTGATGTCACAGCTGGTAAAATTCTTGCATTAATTATGATTTGAACGTTTTGACTGTAAAAATGTTGTTTTCTCTTCTCTCTTTAATGCAACTGCATCTCAAAAAGTTTTATTTCTTAAAATTAATATTTCAGCCCTTGTGTTTTTAACAGGGTAGATCAACAATAATAAAATATGATTTGTGTTTGTTTGTCTGTGTGTTTCTGCACTTGTTGCATAGAGGGGTCATGCTTCTCCCTGCTTCATCGTTGCAGCAAAGATTTGTAGAGATGCTGCGAATCCCCCAGCTGACCACTCCTGACTGGTCTAACTGGACTTGTTAAGCTTACAGTATAATATGCCTTGTGGTTACTGTTGCGGTGATTTGATGTGAATAAACCTGAAAAGTTTGTCAGCCGGAAGACGCAGATTTTTGTCACATTTGTGTCTATTTTTTGTTTTTTGTTTATTTGTAAGCAAACACTTCTATGGCTCGCTAAAGCTGACTTTGCTCTTTGGTCTGTGCTGGCTCTCACGTTCACATGCGCTTCACGCTCTTGCTTCTTGACTCTCTGCGAGCTGTAAGCCTCCAAACTAACCAAAACAATGCAAACAACAAGTACCAAACAAGTGTGTTGATCTTGAAGTGTTTCAGTTTTTCAACGTAAAATTCCTGGAAAACTGTCGTGCTATCATCTAGTGAGTATTAAGGACTTTCTTAACAAACAGCAACAGATGAAGATGTTCTGAGCAGCTGTGGAAATAGAGCCATCACACGAGTCGTAGGCAGGGCGCTGAGAGCTCAGTGCTATCTTCTCTCATCAGAATTGGCTATGAAAGGGTCAGCATGTGTGCTCTCCTGCCAATATTTCACTATATGTGTTCACGCTGTTTTGCAGATACAGGGGTAAAATTGTCAGACCCTTTCACCCTCATGTGTTATAAGTCCCATTAATAGCACACTGATCCGCATAAGCTGTGTTGACCCCATAATGTTCTCCCTAGTGGGTGCTCGCAGTGGTGGCATTGAGGTCACTCGTGTATCGTTTACATGTTTGTTGTAATTTAACGCTCGTTTAAGCTTGTTTTCACCGTGTTGTTGTGTTTCGGACACGAGGTATATATCCTCACATCTGTTTGGAGTGACAACCCTCCTAATTTGACTCCCGCCCTCATTCTCACCCCTGTTTACCCCCAGCATGCCCTGCTACCCAGCTGACCTTATCAGCACGTTGGGGCAGGAGTGCAGGGTCCCACAGGAGGACGGGGCTCCGCTCATCCACCCGGCTTAGGAGGGCAGGGATTGGGTTTAGGCGACAGGTGCCAGAGGGACCAGCCAGTCCCTTTGCAACAACACACACATACACTCGCACACATGGAAATATATACACACTGAATCTGGCCGTGCCTTAATCCCCAGCCAGCTGTTGCAGTTGCTAGCCCAATCAGTCTAAAGTGTCGAGCACTGGGAAAGCTTGTGTGCGTTTGTTTGTCAGGGTGGAGGGAAATGTGTGCGGGGAGGGTCAGGTAGCTGTCATACATGCCAGTCATCCTAGCAGTCCAGTGCATTTGGAATTGGACCCCTCTCCACCCGATGACGGCCCGGGCGCCCAGTCTGATAAATTCATAACACATGTTCCTGGCACCGTCTCACACACTCACAAATAATACACCCTCATTCATTATCCTCCCTCTGGCTTAGATATGCCCAATCCTATCACAGACCACGCCAAAGGCCAGTAGAGGTGAGACAGGGCAGACACCCCTCTCTCCTCACAACACCCTCCTCTCCTTTGAGCTGGCCCATCCTTGTGTGACCCTATAGACACGGGCTAATCCATCAGGAGCACGGGGCGGGGGTGTTTGGGTAAGGGTTATGGATTGTGCTGCGTCTGCTGTCAGAGGGTATCGCTGCCAGTTTGTGGCTCATGTCATCACTGGGGTTTCTCAACATCTAGCAGATTATAGCAGGATGGCACCGATTGTCAAACAGAGTCCACTGTAAAAAATCATAAAGGCCCAGGCATTGGTGAGACACGCGAGCTAATACTGGTATTTACTGAAAATTTCAATCGGATAAAATCACTCACAATCGGCTGCTTTGTACCAGAGTTCGCCTTTCTCTTACAGTTCTGATGTTACATGCCTCTAATGTGATGTATGAGAAAGTTAACTGAGTTTTTTGGTCATAGAGCCGCATCACTCCTAACGTTTATTATTTATGTTTAACATTTATTTAACCCACAGGTTAAACTCTAGTGATTAATAACGTCTTTTGCACGAGTATCCTGGGCCCAGATACGCAGCACCGTTGTTGCTCAGGTGCCTTTAGGAAAAAAGATGATTTGCAGAACAGAAATAATATTAGGAATGGTTAGTTAATGTTAATGTGGTAATGTAAGCTAGCCGAGTGTGAAGCAGTCGAGGGTTGAATCGTCTGGTTAGTAGTCAACCAGACTTAGCTCGTTACCCACAGCCGGCAAATAAATGGATGGACGAGTTTATTTCTTTCTCTTTAATACTGCTTGACAAAAATAGAAAATATTGTACTGTACTTTAGTACTTGTTTATTAACGTGTACATAGCATTCAACATCACAGTGCAGGATCAAACCGTTAGAAGCTTCAGCAACACAGATGGAGACAATCATCAACATTGCAGCAGCACCGAACACGGAGATGAGAAACACAAAATCAAGGATATAGCAGATTACCATAAGCAGCTGATAACCCACCTAAACTAATTTCATCAGCTGGGCTCTTGGGGAGGCTTCAAGGGTAATCTGAATGCTGATCGAAAGCCTTTTTTTTTCCCATGACAGGAACACAGCTTCTTGCTTATATGGGCACACCGTGGCTGTTAATAGTCCCGTTTCTGTAAAGCAAATGCAAGTCTTATGATGACTCATGCTGTGTTTTAATTTCACTACATACGTGATCACAAGATGAAAATCTGCAGCACTTGAAGCAATTTCCGCTGAGCTAATTTGTTGTTGTTGTCTTATAAAGCGAGCTGTACATAGGGAGCTTTAAGACGCTGACATTCCTCCGCTGAGTGTTTAAAAAAGTGCAGGTAAAATGAGAAATTGTTTGTTTTGCTTCCCAGGAAAGGGCAGCTTCCAGTTAGACATCCTCTTTCACATGGGTGTCGCTGAAAAGCAAATGCAAGTCTTATGAGGATGATTCACATAATACGATGATTTCTTAATGTCATTAGTCTATTATGTGATCACAAGATGAAACTTTGAGCTACATCACCAGTTCATATGGACCATTTCCACACATCATGTTGTGTATGAATATGATATCAGTTAAAAGCCACATCAATAAGATGTGTTAATACGATCCACTCTGCAGTCACAGTCTATGCATTATCCGGACCATCCTTTCTCTGTCAATAACGCAGCTAGTGATGCTCCCCTGATAGTGATTGCTATAAAAGAGCAGAGTGAGCTCGTATTGATATTGGAAAAAAGGAAAAAAATATATATGAGGTGAAGTTGTTCAAATTTCACATTGACTTTATTTCTGGGTGTAGCCACGGGATTGGTAGAGACTTAACAGAAGTAGATCCAATATCAATGCTTTTAGCCCACATGGCCAGTCTTCACATAATCAATGCCATTTGACAATCAGAAGCAATTAGCCCAGAAATATTTGAAATGATGAGTATAATATGTTTCTCGCAGGAAATACTAAAATAAACTTTCACAGGACAGAAAACTTTAGTATTCTTCAGGACATTCTGCTCTTTTCAAGTAAAGCAAGTAAAGTCTTTTTTTAAATTTAAGATTACTAGGATCCTTCAAGTGTTGATCGTGTATATTAGCAGGCCGGCTCTAACTGCTTAGTTCAAGTTGTTCAAGAGGGCCATGAAACATGGTGACAAACAACTAAATAAGGTTAAAGTTAGGAGTCTCTTCTCAATAACTGAAACCTATTTACTCAAATAGAAAAATGAAGCTGTGATAAGTTGGCATCGCATCACAACATCCTTCAGAATCTTTGACATTGCCAGACGGTAGCCGGTCTGATCACGGCCTCTAAATTAAGAATGGAAAATCATTCCAAAGAAGAATTTCCACCATTGTGTGGTTTTAGTCAGTTTTATGAAATTTGATGACGCATCCAGATGATACAATGATTTTAGTAAATATGCTGCCAATATGCAAAGGATCCCTGCTTTGGTTTGTAAGGAGTCCCGTGGTCTAACTCGTTGCTGGTCTTATGCTTTTCTTGTACCTTAGCATCATAATCTCGTTGTCTGTTGTGACAGCCATGTGCTCTATACACCGTTAACCCACCATACAGCCCCGTGACATCATAACGTCTGTGTTGCACTTTTAATAGTAGCTCTTCGTTCAGAAAACACTCTAAAAAACCTGTTTTGTATGTGAAAGTCCTCTTTTTCACATCGGCAGCGTGTACATGACCAGGCCCACTAATGTCACAATGTTGCTCTGATGTTGAAGTCACATTACAGGTTTAACAGCTTTACTAAGAAGACACCAGATAACGTCTAGTGATGCTAACTAATGCCAATATTGAACAACTTTGCTTTCCAGTCTGAATGTATGGCATGATGGGATTTGTAGTGACCTCAAGGTCTTCCACTCGCTTCAGGTGTTTGGTTAAAAGAAGGAAGTTTGATGATGTATTAACTCTGGGACATGATTCAGGCAGGATGTGGCTTTCATGGATACCTAAGGCATCGGGCCTCTTCTTGAAAGCTGCTGCTTGTATTTTGCAGCTGAACACTCTATGCATGTGTAGTCTATAGAGTCCATGTGGTTACTGGACTGTACAGACGTGTGCGTATAAAACTGAGTGTGTGCATGTGTGTGTGCGTGAGAGAGAACTGGAGAGCCCCTGAGTGCTCTTTGTGCTAATAAAACAGCAGCTCTATGGGACACTGGACACCCTGGATCAAACTCCATCACATTACTGAAATATTACACCTCCCCAAGCCAGGGGCCTGCAACCAGTTGATGTGTGTACATGTCAAAGGTGTGTGCGACTGCATACATCAACGGGCGTGAGTAGTGATGCATTCTCATATACACAACTGGGCGTGTGATGAAGTATGCATGCAGCCATGAATAGTTCTATGTGTGTTTACCCATGGTGTTGTCAGCATCCTGACAGTCCCTTCACAATATGCTGTCTGTGTCTGCTCTCTAAGTGCTGGTGCTCGTATTGATCCCCGTCCTGTAGGGAGGATATTGTAATATGTGAAGGCTCGATGTCTCTTTGCCACACTGCCACAGAACACATCCAGACTCAGCTGAATAAAACTGTTCATCAGTTGTCACAGTATAGGAAGGAATTTAAAGTTCTTCCTCTTTCATGCTGTGGCTGTATGTAAGAGCACAACTGTGCAGCCTGAGTGACACTTTATCTTTATTAAATACATTTGAGTGCGTTTTAACCACATTGTTCAGAATCGCCCCTTTCGATTTCTGCCCATAGTCAAGTGAGCTAAACTAGCAAACTTACTAAGAATGCATACACCCCAGACCTTTTGCCCCCTAACGCAACACAGCCTGATAATTTCTCACATTTGTTATGTGTAGGTCTGCATATATTTGTATATCAGGGACAAAGGAGTGGGAGCAGGGGAAGCACAGAGATTTAAAGCTCCACTCCCAGCGCTTCCTCTCAGGGTCAGGACCTCAAGGCTTTGATCTCTCATTAGGGGGCAACCATAACACATACACCAGCTCAACCTCTACTATATCACTAGCATGGAGAGAGAGCGCGGCATGCTTAAAGGTTAAACGGTCTAATTTAATGACTCGGCACAAAACACACGGGGTGGAAGAAGATGAAACGATAGATGTTGTGCAGAGATAAAGAATGAATGAAAAAGTGTTAGTATATATAAATACTGAAATACAGCTTGACTATGGCCTACATGCTTCAGGTTGCGTTATTGTTTTTATTCAAGTCACCAGCAGAAATTTTAAAGAATCACAAACTCCTGTAAATTCAGTGTAATTGTTTTTTTTCTCTAAAAACGGTTGATATAGACATAAACTGTTAGCTGGCATAATTATAGTTGTCAGCCTTAATTTGTCAAAGCCCAGTGTGGCCATAGGGCAGAAAACAGTGGCAGAGCCAAAAACAAAGATTATCACTCCTTATCAGAGGGTGAGGACAGCGAGACGTTGTTAGGAATCAGCAATGATCCCGATTTCAGTCTCAATTCCACCCAGCACAGATGAGCTCAGGGCCTGCCATCACAACTAAATTGCACTTGACCGTGACAGGTGTTTAATACAGCGTAACACTGGATTAGATGACACGTTAATGAATCTTAGGGTGAAACGGGACAAATACACAAAGCAATTCAAAGAGCGAGAGAAAGCCACGTAGATGTTTCATGTTTTTAATGTTAAAATATAATTATTGTTATTATTCATGAATTTTCAAATGTATTGCTTTACCATACAGCTGTTGAACTAGTAAAGCACATCCTTGATTATTTTGGGATTATTTACTTTACGTTTCTGAACCAAAACATTTGTTTTAGTGGTTGGATGTTATGTCCAGTGGATTGTGAATTCTGTTTTTTAGTTAATAACAGTATTTTTTTTTAAACAAATATTTGACAGATTTTTAAAATTTGCAGCCACATCATCTGACATATTTAGTACTAATCTTTTTTCAGTATTATCTAAATAAGATAACATGACAAATGAGACTTTATTTATCCCATATTTGGAAAATGATTTTGTAGCAGCTGATAAAATAATAATTTAAAAAATAGTCATCGTCACTATAATTATCATCGTGCATACTTATCATATACAAATTCATTTCAGTTCAGTTTTATGTATATAACGCTAAATCACAAACAAGTTGCCTTAAGGCGTTAATATTATTCTGTACAGGCCTACAGTGATATAGAGAAGGGTTAGCATTAGTAAGATGAACTATTACAAATTCATCTAAGCAAATAAATTTTTAAATGATAACAAAATTTTTAAAAAAGTGATAAATTATTAAAAGTTATACATTATGAGTGTTAGTGCATGTGTTTTGAAAGATTTCTTGCATCGTGTATCATGTACCTGTAATCACATAGTAACACTTGCACTGAAAGCCTGAAAATTAAACCCGTGGTTTAGGCTTGAATTAATTTGCCACTATGTGTTTATACACCAGTCTGCAGTTTACCATTAGTCATTATTTATCTCTGGCTGTCTCTCTCCCCTCACCTCTCGCTGATTGCAGCTGCCGCTCCCTCAGCCTGGTTCTGCTCGAGGTTTCTTCCTGTTAAAAGGGAGTTTTTGCTTCCCACTGTTGCTCATAGGGGGTCGTTTGAATGTTGGAGTTTTTCTCTGTATTATTTTAGTCTTTACCGTCAAATATGAAGTGCCTGGAGGCAACTGTTATTGCCATTTGGCACTATTTAAATAAAACTGAATTGAATTGAACCACTAATTTTTTAATGCTTCAGATGTTGCTCTAGCCTTAAGTTTATAGTGAAAACATAAATATCTGACTGAAATCTACCAAAAGAAATAAGAAATTGACACCACCTGAATTTTCTACCACTTATTTGAGTCTGCCCGCCACCAGGCCCTCTGATCACCACCAGTAGGCAACGGGTGAAGTGTCTTGCCCAAGGACAAAACGACCGAGAATGACTGAGCCAGGGCTCGAACCGGCAACCTTCTGATTATAAGACGAACGGCCAACTCTTGAGCCACGATCGCCCCACATTACACTTTTGGAAATCCTTATGCTCAAGCATGGTGTTTGTTATCTACAAGCTGTGCATCTTATCATAGAAGTCCAACAAAAAACACAACTGGGGTTCGGATCGAGAAGGGATGTAACTCCCAGTCACATCCCTTGAGGTCACACTCTCCTTGCCCATATGAGTGTACAAGTCCCCAGTAGGTGAGTGAAGTCCCAAACATCACTGGATACACCGAACTGTCATTTTGTCCCATAAGTGCAAGCAACAGGCAGGACCTGTTCAACTTCTTTGTCCACCTGGAAAACATACAGACACTGAACTGGGGGAAAACACGTGTAGCAGCCACTCTACTCCCGAATAACCAAAGCACCGAGTCCCTCCTACAAGTGGTGGGCCCACAGGAGGGAGGACCCATGTATTGGTGTCTCTGGTGTCACAGTGAGACCCTTTGTTCAATAAACACTTGCTAAGAGGTTTAGTCATGGTTTAAAAAGTCACACTTCTTATACATTTGCTTATTTAAGGACAAGTCCAAATGATGCTGTTCTCATTACACATAAAGAAGAATGCAGGATTCCAGTTCTTTAGCTGCCATTTACTGTTATTTAATTGCAAGGCCAAATTCTTTAAATTATTTATGCATAAATAAATGACCAATTTCTACATATTCAGTATATCATAATATTCAGCCATTATTTGAATGTCTCCTGAAGTGCATTCCCAGGTTTAGCCTTCTCAGCGGTAAAAATGTGAATCCAAAGTCAAAAGGTGTGATTGATCATGCTGTGGAAAATGAAACTCATGTGAATGTTTTTGCTTCGACATTCAGGGACATTTCCCAGTGGCGCCAGAGGAGGTTAGGCGGGTTAAGAATCTTAGCAGGACTGCTAAAGCCTTTTGGAGCGGCTCCTTATTAATCTCTCCCACACCCCCAGCAAGACATTAGCAATAGGTTTAGGCCGATTTACCTCGCCAGATTTTTCCAATCAGTCGTACACATGTGTACACAAACACAGATACAGAAAACTATATTTTATCTACACACTTGCAGACTTTAACAACAAGCAGCTGTTTTCCTTGCATGCATCTGTCTGTCTTCTTCACTCGTCTGTTCTTCACTTCACTCATTTCTTGCTTCACTTTGTATAAAGTTACATTTCTTTCATTCCTTTTTCTCAACTTCATCATTTCCACCCCTTTTTGGATGAAGCCACCATTCTCGTCTCCAATTTTCTTTCTGCTCTAGCAATTTCCTTCATAGCTGTCTTTCTATCAATTTATTTCCTGTATTCTTCCTTCTCTATAATTTCCCGTTTACCTTCATTTGATGGGTATTTGGGTTCTTCATCTTGTTTCTTCCTAAAGTCATTCCCCTTTTCTCTTTTGATTTTGTTTCCTTGAACCATCCAGTAAGGGAGGTGATTTATCACTGTTCTTGGCCTGCATCAACATAATGTGGCTTCTAAGTTTGATAGAAAAAAAGGTTGTTGTGCATTAGTTAAATATTGAAGTCTCACACAGAAGAGCAGGATTCAGACCCTGTGTAGTTTTTCATCTTACATCTGTTTGTTTTCTCTCACTGGTAAATACAATGATTCTGTTATATTATGGTTGTGGTTTTCTGTAGGCAGCACACAGTTGTACAGTCTTTAATGTTAAACTCGGTTTTACACTGTGGACCAGTGTCACAAATATTAATGCAAAACTTTACTGCAACACCCTGGTGTGCTGAGATTTTTGGACTCTCTTTCACACCTCAGCTTGCCACCCCACCCCCTCAAATCCTAGCATGGACACCCTGTGTGTTGGAGGGGTGAGTTAAGACCCCCCGACTATCCTGGATTATCCTTCATATAAGAGCCTTAGTGCTGGCCAGTACTGCAGGACTACTGTCCACGTCAACATACACTCTCTCTCACACACACGTGCACACACGTATGCAATCATATGCTGACCTCAGAGGAGGAATCAGGGCAACAAGGATACAGCTCAGTGATAAGGAAAAATAATAACAGGTAGGTCTTCATAAGTGTGTCTTTCAGCATCATGAATAAATGATTCTTCTTTGGACTTGTAATGGAGTCGCTTTCCTGTCCCTGACTTTAAAATCGTAGATTTTTTTCCAAGTCACTTTAGTTATTTGTGGATTAAAAATGTTGGAACAAAGAAAACAAACATAACAACTTTGAAATGACAAACTCAGTTAGATAGTCAATAGAAATGTACTTAATGGCTCATTAATTTATTATTGTTTGAAGCGAAGGTTCAAACATTTCAAATATCACCTTCGTTTCTCAATAGCTTTGTTGCAATTTTATAGACATTAGAATTAAATTATTTTCAGTCAAACAGATTTTTATGTACTTTCAAAAATGCAGCAATTGTACAAAATGTTAATATTTCCCCATTAATACCTGTGTAACTGCAGCTTGCATATATTGATGTGACAGCATGCTTATGTTGTATCATTTAACTACCACCTACACTACATCTACACTATATGTTGCTGCAATCAGTGCACTTGTTTGCAGAGCTGCATTATTGGTTTCACCTAAAATAATTTTTTAATACTAAAATAATTAAAAGAGGGCATAGCCATGTCTACATTTTGCAGTTTAGCTTTAATGACTGGGGAGAATGTAGCTCGGCAGAGTTGGATGGTAGACTGTAGGATGACTCTGGAAATCAAGAAGAGCAAGGGAGTGAAGGTAAAAGCACAAGTCGAAGAAGGACGAATGTTGCACAGAGTTCAGGAATGAGTTGAGACATGATAGAAAACAGCCGGTAGATGACTGTGAAGGTACAGCTGAAGTGCTGAGAGAAACTGTTGAGAAGGTGTTAGCTGTTTGCACTGGACTGATAGAAGAAGACATCGAGGTCTGGTGGTAGAATGAGGAAGCACAGGAAAGTATCCGAAGGAAAAGGTTAGCAAGAAAAAGTGGGATAAGCAGAGAGGTGAAAGAAGTAGACAGGAGAGAGGGTGGATAAGGCAACGATTAGCAAGGAGGAAATGAAGAGGATGAAGAATGGGAATGCAGTTGGTCCCAATGACGTACCTGTGGAGGTACGGAGATGTCTGTTTTCCACCAGTACCTACTCAGCTCAACTGCACTTTACTCTGCTTCAATCAATTTCCATTAGAATTGAGTGCCACCTAATGTCTCTGGAGTCATTATAGCAACAGCGCCAAAGTCCTGTAATGTCATTTGTATGTAACACACTCACAACACAACAATGGAGGACGTTAAGGTGATTTTGCTCCTGGTCTCTGGCTCTTTGTCCGACTCGGGGACTGCGGTTGTTAAAAATGGCAGTTTTGATTTCTGTGAAAGAGACACTCTCATGACTTATTTGGTCACGCTACTGGCTAGTCGATGCAGTCTGTTGTCACATTTTCAGATCAACTCAGATTGCTTGGAACCCCGGTTGAGTAGGTACCAAAGAAAGACCTGGTACCAGGTACCACTGCCTCTAAAAACTGAGCCGAGCTGAGCCGAGCAGAGTAGGTACCTCATGAGTGAAAAAGGGAGAAGGCAGTGGATGTTTTAATGAAATTATTTAACACAGGAGAAATGAGAGTGTATGGTTTACAAAGAAAAACTGTACTGATGCCAATTTTCAAAAACAGAGCTGTAAAAATGTTGTTCTGCAGCATTCGCAACGCCACCACAGGGATCAGTATGTTGTCATTTCTCAAGCAAAAGCCTTGATAAAACTACTTACGTGGATATAAACTCAAATTCTGCTCCACACTCATCCAGGATATTACTTTTATATTAACAATAATAGTATTTGCTATTCAAAATAAAATAAAATAAAATAAAAAGTAAAATAAATTGTTCTTTCAAAATGTAGCACCACATTTCCTTGCCACGGTCAGTATGATGAAAACTTGAGGATGGTGGGTGTGTGTCATCAAACAGGCGACCAATGTTCTGCTGCCGTTGTCTGAAGTTTACAGCTTCATTTAGGAAAACGTCTCGTTCAGTCCACAGAGTTGCTGTGGAGGGCGTTGATTGATTTAAGCTCTCTCTCTCTCAGTGTGTGGATTTTTTTCAGTTGTGTGATAAAGAGAGAGAGGGAGTGTTTGGGCGGAGAAGGTGGAGATTAAAGAGGCGGGGTAGTTGCTGTGCTTTGGCCAATGCTCTATGGAGGCCAGTCCTATAAAGCGCTGCAGCCGTGAAATGCGTTTTATTGTCGCTTAATCCTCACACTGTGGCAGAGCCCCATTTCACACTGGATTGTGGGGGGGGGGGCTGTGTGTGTGTGTCAGTGAGAGAGTTTACGCGCTCACACTCCCCGGGGCCGTGGCTAATTGAACAAATTTGCACAGCAGGGGTGGAGGCACATGCACTGCAGGAGATTTGATTTATGAGCACTGAGGCTGGAGCACACATATACTGACAAAGATGGCACATCTGTGCACATAACTGAATATATAGCATTTATTATATGCATACATATTTCTTTCAAATCATCAAAGACACACTTACAAGCAAGAACATTCTGGTGTTAGATAGTAAGAAAGTGCAGTCACCACTGGATTGTTTACCTGAAATTAAAAAAAGAAATTCCCAAAAAGTTGGGACACTTTCAAAATTGCAACAAAAACTAAAATCTGTAATTTGATCATTTACTTCAACTGTAATTAATATGGCAAATGAGCAAAGATTTTCAGGGTCAACACCAAACAAGTTTACCCCAGGCTCTCTCTCCAGGCTCTCCTACTTTGTGCAGAGTGAGGCCTAATATTGTCCTGCTGACACAGACAATGTCTTGATGGGAGCATATGTCTCTCTAAAATTTCTATGAAAGCCTCTGCATCAATGGTGTCTTCGTATGTGCAAATCCCCCACGTGCACTGATGCACCTCCACACCAATAGGCTTAAAAAAGGCTTTTTGTGTCTCGGTCCATCATAAAATGGTCTAAACCAGAAGTAGTATGTTTGGTTTTATGTTTCCATGTTTATTTCTGATAAACACAGAGTTTTTGGAAGTCATTTATTATCGTTTTTGCCCCCCCCCCCCAAAAAAAAACAAAAGGCAAATAAAAACAATAAAAATCTGCTGTAAGTGGCTAAAACTGGTTTTCATGTACTATAGGATCAAATAACAACCATACTATCCAAATTCTAATTCATTTATTTAGACAGGAGTCCATCAAATATCGAATTTGATTTGTTAAATCCTAATTTCTCCTTTGTTCTGATGACACTGTCAACAGGATACAGTTGTGGCTTAACAACACTTAGGTCACTTTTTTAGTTTTTAACAATTCCAAGCTCCTTTATTGTAAAGTTTCATAATTCTCGACATGTTTTTTATTGTTGACAGGTCTGTAGACCTGTGCAACTGGAATTTATCAACTTTATCAAAAACACTTTTCAAGTGAAGCAAGTTTGCACCCCACACAATTTGACAAGAGACAAAACACTATCTGAGCATTCAGTTCAGTTTTACTTATAAAGCACCAAATCACATCAGCAGTTGTGTCAATGGGTTTATATTGTGACGTTAAATGATGTTATCAAAGCTGCTGATATTGTCATTCCGTACAAATCTAATCATGAGAAAGACGTTTTGGACAATTTGAAAATACCCTACTGAGTAACCGTACTACAGAATAGCTTAAGAAGTTCCAAATGCTACTAGAAGAGGGTTTTCTTGGGGGTGATCTATCTCTGCAACACACTCAGCATTTTTACCTCTTTAAAAGCTTTTTATATATTTTATCCAAGATACACAAGAATCCACAGTAACCACAGGGAGACTTTAGTGTCCAGGATTAGAAGACCTGCTACCCACTCCAAGGTCCTATATCATGGACAGCTCTCAGTGTTTTTCTTTTGTTTAAAACAATGATTTATTGACTTTTTGGAAACGAGACAAACAACAACAAATCAGCGCAGCCAAATGCAAACAGAAAGGAAAAAAACACAAACGTACACATCTGGGTCAGAATATGTACAGTATTCCACATTTGATCCCGTTTATGTAATAGCTCGGCAAGTTCACGAGGTAGGTGGTCAAACAAAGGCCGTCATATCCTATAGAATGCATCGCAATTGCCCTTTATAACGGCACTAAGGCGCTCCATTGGGAACACCTTGAATGTTTCTCTGTACCACTGTGTAACAGTGGGGGGGTCGTCTCTGCATCCATTGAAACACATCGCCTCACTAAATGTAAAAGTTTACATAATAAAAGCATTTGTACAGAAGACAGAGAGAGCCCTTCTACAGATAGACCCAAAAAGAACAGCACAGGGTTCAGTGGGACTGTCTGGTGAAAGATTGAGTTTAGCTCTATAGCAGTGTTTTTCCAAAATCTAACAATTAAAGGACATTGTCATATGTGATGGCAGTAAGTCCCCACATCTGTATTGCACAACTCTCGGTGTTTAATTTTGCTTTAGGAACTACCACCAATAAGCCCAGACAGTCACGTGTATAGTTATGTGCACGTTGGACATCAAATCTTCTGCCGCCTTTTTTTAAACTATGGCTGTTTGTAGAAGTCATGGAAGACCAAATGCTTTATAATCGAATCCCCTCATCCTCTGCAGATTTACCTTCTGTCGTCTCTAGTATTATTCTTGAGGTATCTAATTATTTGCCAACTTTTTAGCAGTGATGAATCCCTCTCCATCTTTACTTCTACAGCGATCGTGTTGTATTTCATCACCTGTTGCCACCGAATCGGATTAACTGTCAAATTCCAATAAAGTGGTTGAAAAACAAAGCATCTCCATAGGAGCTGTTTTATTCCTTCTTAAAATAGCAGCGAGGAGCAGTCATGACAAATTGTCTGATGTCTTCACCCCATCATTTCCATCTAAACGAATGCAGACACATGTTGCATGTTCAGCCCAGTGACCCCCCAGTGTAGTCAACTGCTGGGTGGTGTTTATTGCTGTGTTTTGGACTGGTGTGAGCTGCCTTGTTGACTGGTTTTTCTCTGCTCTCTCATTATGCTGCTTTGATGCTTCCACTGACACTTTGGTCAGAGTTTCCAACACCACAGCCGTGCTGTTTAAGGACAGCGCTCTATGTGTGTATTTGTGTGCGTTAGACTGAATGTGTATCTGTACACCGTGGTAGCTGGGTACATGAACGAAACAAAGTAGTGGCCACGCCAGCATCTGGGTCCCAGCCTGCAGAGTCATGGTGTCAAGGCGGTAAACACACACACACACACACACACACACTGCAGAAAATCAGTGTCACATTTAGCTTGGCTCTCTCCCAGCCCTTCCCTGTCATTTACTGTATTAGCTGTGGTCTCAGTGCTGAAATGGCTCATTATGTGGGCTGTGTTAGTGTGTATGTATATGTGTGTGAGAGAATGTGTATGTGTGTGTCTGTTTGTATGTATGAATGTGACTGATTATACTCTGTAAGTGTGTTAGCGTGTGTGTCTGCACGGGTGAGTCAGAGAATCGTGTGCGAGTGTACCCGAGTGTGTGCGTACATTTGTGTGTGAGATGCTGTTGTTGTTTGTCTCCCCACACCACCACAGTGCTGGCCGCACACCCTTTGATGTATCTGTGTGTCTGTGTGTGTGCACGCGCGTGCGTGAGTGTGTCTTGATGTTGTGGCCACAGTGGATGACAAGACGTCCTGCTTTCTCCAGCAGGATCCTTCCGTAGCTGCACACACACACACACAGCACACACACACACACACACAACACACACCACACCCCCACACACACACACACACACACACACACACACACACACAGGGTCCATCTGTACCTGGTTACCTCACCCTACTGGCCTTATTCATCTTCTCGTCTCTTCATTCTCCCTTCAGTCAGGAAGTGACATCATTCTTGATTATTTCTCTGTCTCAACCTTACATTACAAAGGTCATTTCAGTGGCTTTGCATCCAACTTCAATTTGCTGTGAACCAAACATTCATCTCTAGGGAGCATTGGGTACTAATTTTCAGTATATTAAATATGAGATACGGTGCCATGAAATATTCAAAGTATTTTCTGTTTCCCCCACAAACTGTATTCTCAGCAGGGTGGCTAAATGTATTTAGACCACCATGCAACACAAAAAACATAAACCAAAGCTAGACTAGTGACTAATGAGTGCATTGAAGCCCCAGACTAAATGAAATCTGTCTGCATTTGCAGCACTTTGAGGCAGGGTGACCCCACAGCACCTACAGTGTTCGGTAGGAGGGAGAAAAACAGAAGCACATGTGCCCGCTTTCTCCAGCACAACAGCATTTTCTCTGTTTTTTCCACAGCAAAAATTCTTTCCAAAGGGAAATATGCAAGTTTTATTTCATATTTTCTTGACTTCATCTTGAAGTAGTTGCCAAGAAAAAAAAAAGTAGAACTTTCACATCAAGGTTGGGAGTTAATATCTCGTATGAGTAACTTTATTTTTCAGCACAGTCTGAACTCTCTTAGATGAGATTTACTGTATTTTTTTAAGGAAATGTTCTGGAATCGTTCTTTAGGCTTCTTTGGGTGTCGGCTGCCTTTTCTTCCACTCTCTGGCAAAATGATCCCACAGTGCTTCAATAATTTTGAGGTCTGGGCTCTCAGGAGACAAATCCATGGCTAATAGCGTTGTATTGTGTGTTTTTATAGTCATGTACTGTATGTGTTTGCTGTATTGGCATTGTGTCTGGAATCATTGTCATGCAGTAAAATGAAGCCGCTGTCATTCAGACCCTTTCCATTTGGTATTGCATCGAAATCTGCTGGTGCATTTCTGCATTTCTTGGCTAAAATCCTGCACCAAACCACAACAGATAGCTGTACACACTCACTGCTGTACCTCTATCCTGACCTCAGAATTTACTGATAATTATGTGAAGCAAAAACTTCAAATTTGGATTCATCGCTTTTTAAGATTTGTTGCCACTAATTTTCAATCAAGCTCTTGTTTAATTTGGCATATCTCGGCCTTTTCTCAACTGAAGGACCAGATGTATCTTTCAGGTCCTGTTTTATGTCTTTGCTGGATTTTTTGGTATTTCATAAGGAAATTAATTCAAACTGTTACTGATAAACAATATATATATATATCTAATATATATATATATATATATAAATAGAAATGTGACACTTAAGTTAATTTAAAATTACATGGTGTGTGTTCATTACATATGTTTGGTTTCACAGGTGTTCAGTGGCTAAACAAACAAAAAACAAAACATGGTCAGGTACGAGGACTGGACTGAAAAATTAGTTAAAAAGGAGCC